GCTTCCATAGTTAAAGGAGTTACTTGAGTTTCTCTTCTCTGAAATGGATCTTCTTGTTGAACTATTTCCCTTGAATTGAGCTCTTCTAACCCCGTTTGCTCTGCTTTCTTCGTAACTCTTGACAATAAGTACAACTCTTGCAACAAGCTCATCAATGGCATCTTCATCACTTTCTTCACCTTGATCTAAATTATCTGAGTCGTTGATGGTCTTCCTTGCTTCCTTTCGAGACACCAGGGAAACAAACTGTTCCTTGCTTAATTTCTTCATAATTTCTTTACGAAGAGCTTTGGTCTCTTCATAATTTCGCAGATTACTGAACAAGGAATTTAAACCCATGGTATCGAACTTCTCACCATTCTTAAGAACATCAACGTGATGTTCCCAACTTTTCCCAATAGAATCGAGAAACTTCAAAACCAACTGTGATGAGTGCTTGATGATTCCCAGTCTGTACATATAAATAACCAAACAGTTAAACCTATTGAAGCTTTAGGTAAGAGACTCACCTTGTTGAGCAAAGAAATGCTCGTATCTCCGATTAAGGTTGTTGATGGTCGTATCCTGGACTTCCACAGTGCCTTCATAAGCCACTGTCAGCGTGTCCATCATCTCTTGGGCTGATTCACAGTTCTGTACGAGATGATACACGTGGTATGGAAGAGAGTTTCCAATAGAAGCCCTGACTTTTACATCAAGACTAAGTAGTCTTTTGTAATCGTTATCATAACTCGTCTCTGGCTTTTGCTTCAGGGAGCCAACAGGGCGTTGTTGACCATGGGTTGGTACATAGGAACATGGGGACCTTTTTCAACAATATTTCTCATATCATAGTGCATGGTTTCAAGAACCACCATGGCCTTGGCATTCCACATGGCGAAGTTGTGTACATTAAAGGGAGGAATTTTGTTGAGGCCAAAGGATTTGGAATTGCTTGAAGTCAACATGATTACTTAAGTGTATCAAAAACATGATCTAGTACCAATTTACGGTTTATATCGATCGGATACACTTCAAGTATTAAGAACAAATGTAAAACTAATCTAAGCAAAACAATAAACAGAAAGTAAATAACACAGAAGTTCTCCAAATTGTTCTTTCACCAAGAAAGAGGTTTTGTCTTCACCAAGAAGACAGGTTTGTCACAAAGACGATTAACACAAAGCCACGATCACAACATTAGGGTTTTCGTTAATGTTGTATATATGTACTAATATCTACATATGAATCCCTTTAATAAAGGGATTGCGTTTAACCTATACTAAGAACCGATCTTATCACAAAGATACCAGATCTATGATCTATTCTATACTTATCTATATCATTACCTAATATATAAAATATTACAATCGGATAACTATACAATAAGCTTACACTGATAAGCTTAATACGTTGGCGCTATAGATGTAGTAGATGATGACGCTGATATATCAGCGTATTGTGTGTTTGACTCATCAGAGCATAAGGTGTGACCTTACACCAACATATATGAGCAAACATCAGGGGCAAAATGGTCAAAATGTTGCAAATGGGTTCTAAAACAAACTCAAGTTATTTGGTAATGATTCTAAAACAAACTCAAAAAATTAAACCTTGTTGGAAATGAGTTACCTAAATACAAGAAGTCAAATTACATGTGAAATGATTTTTTTTTTAAAATCTAAAAGAAAACAAACTTCCATCACACTTTTAATTCCATCTAATAGCATTATACTTTTGGGCAATGAAAACCACTAATAATGCTGCATAGGTATGAGAAAACAACCCAACACATATGAGTAAATTTCAAGGGCAAAACGGTCCTACTATGATGAAGTCGTGTTATACATAAACTTCATTCTTATTAATGACTTCATAATATCGAAGAACATGAACGTGTTGTATTAATTTTACTAAATAAACTGAAATTTTATTTAATTATTGTTGTTTCCCAGCAAATTGAAACACCCCACTGTTTTTATGAAGTGCATGTCGTATAACCTGGTACATTGGAAAACAAATGTATCTCTAATTTAAGGGCGTATGGAGCCCATATTATATTTTGAAATTGGTGAAGTAACGTTTTCCTTATGTTAAATTTTGTGGAACAGCATGTAGCATGTACCAAGTTTCATTGAAAATTCTGTAGAGCTTAAATCAAAAGTGTAAGGGTAAAATATTCAAAAATGTATAATCCAGTAAACTAACATCCAATAAGCATTAAGATCGAGAAAAATACTAAATTAAGGGTAAAAAGTCCGAAAGACTAATTACAAACTCAAACACATACACACACACATACAGAGAGAGAGAGAGAGAGAGAGAGAGAAAGAGAACGATTACTAATGGATAGAATAACATCCAAACCAATTATATGGCACCTTAAGAATCAAATAGTCAGAAACAAAATTTATCTATCCATCCATTGAAGAATAAGAATAACTTCATCATTTAGTTCAAATTCATAAAAGTTAATCACTTTGTAGCTCCGAATATGATAATTTTGGTTGTTACCTATTTGGAATCAGAAACACATAATTGAGTTCAACTTTGCCTTGTTAATATTTGGAAGAAATTCTTGAGTCCACTTTGCTTTTTTGATATTCTTATGCAGTATACTGCATGCAGGATCCATTCAGTTCTCGCGCATTCAACTTTTGGACACTAAACCCTTCGGCAAGGTACTCCACTTTTACTTTTCTTTATTTCTTTTTTCATCCAATACAAACACAAAACTAATTAAACTGAATTTTACTACATCCAATCCAAACACAAAATCCAATCAAAACACCCCCCCCCCCCCCCCCCACACACACACACACACGCACACACACACACACAGAGAGAGAGAGAGAGAGCGAGAGAGAGAGAGAGAACGACATCATGATAGGGATGGATTCTAGTCGATATTAATGTCTTTAAGTAAAAAGAATGCTATTAAACAATAATCACTATATCACATGCATTCCATGTGAAAATCTATTTCTTTAAGGCATTTTCTTGAACACGATATATGCATTAGAACATCAACAAGTTTCAAATATTATAGAACATGAGAACACGATCAATGCATGGAAAATATAAGATTGATACATATATTGAACACATCAATATATAATCAGATGATTTATAGAAGAAAATAATAAGTAAATAAAAAAAATGCTAACTATATAAAGCTGGTATTGTATTCGAACGTGATGCTGCAAAGTACAGATTTGAAGAAATTGTGATAACATCTGAATGAGATTGTACTCATACATAATTTTCAACAACGATTTTGGAAATGATATGAAGAAATTAATATTGTGATCAATATCACAGTATTTTGAATTATTTGATTTCAAATTCTATAATTATGAAACGTATATACAAATTACGTGATTTTAATAAAAAACCATATTTATGTTTTTACAATTATGCTGACATTTATTTGACTTCAATACATTCCATTTACAGCTTAGTGTCACCATTAAAGGAGTTTTCAACTTTTAAAATGTAGTCAACTTAAATTAATTTTTATATTAACAAAAAAGAGAAAAAATCTAGAATTTGCCAAGTGGAATAAAATGAAAATGAAAAAATTGAGAAAAAACCATGTGACATATTGAATAAGAAGAAAATAAATGACAAATTATTCTTATTTATTGTGATATATTAGTCAAAAAAATTTAAAATTAACCACCGTTGTGGAAAGAATTCTAATGGTTGATATTTTATCCCATAGAGGTATTAATACCCAATCTTCCGGTTGTAACTTTTGTGATGCCGAATTGGAATTTATGGATTATGTGTTGGTCATATGTCTTACGGATAAGACTCCTATAGTGTGGGTGTTAAAATGGTTTGACATTCTTTATCGACATTTCTCTAGTGTTTCTGAATTCATTGACATTGTAGCTAATTAGGGCAATTGTCCGCATACACAAAATATTCTCAATGCCATTTTCTTCTATTTACTTTGGAACATTTGACGGCGAGAAATAATAAGGTGTTTAACAATATCAATATCTCCCCACCAGGATTGTAGACAATGTAATTTCCCTTTCTTATGTTTGGTCTAATTTTAGGAGTAGAGCAAGTTGTCGTAGTTGGGTTGATTGAAGATGTTCACATTTTGCTCATCTTAATCTAAAATTCATTCCTTATTTGCTTTGCTTATGTTTTAGCTTCTTGCTAATATGAGTCTTTTGCTTAAAATATTTGGTCGTTTAAAAAAAACACCATGGTCAAGTTACTCAATATTGAAGTCATTGGACTAATTTCTATTCTCAACTACAATTGGTTTCTTCTAATGTTTAATACTTTTTATTTAATTAATTTATGCAAAATGTTATTTTAGTAAAATCATATAAATTTCAACTCTTTTAACCAGAAAATTACCTAGTGGATGACTTATAGAATTTTGAACTTAAGTATGCCAACCATTGGATACTACTTGGCTTAAAGTCATCAATATGTAGTCGTCTTGAGGTTGATGGAGGCACATGATCTCATGAATTTTCTATATTTTCTTTAATTTATATTATTTTTTCCTAATTAAATAAAAGTAATGCACATGGTAATCTTGGTTCACGTGAGTAACTTTATGATAAAACGATAATTCATTAATTTATCAAATTAAATATCTTATGTTATTTAGATAGATTTCGATATAATGTTCGACAAAAATCTCAAACAGTTTTATTTAATTGCAAGGTTGATAAACATATATGGTACTATAATTTTACTGCAAGCAAAAATATATATTTTTTGTTCATATACACCGTTAATTTCTTTATTTCATTGGCGTATGTTGTTCATCTAAAACAAATGATTTTCATTACAAATTATGAGGCAAAACCATCAACAATGCACTAGACTATATGCAACACACATATATAAGAAAATTCAAAGCTGAAATCGTAGAAATAACGTAGGTACTTATCACAATTTTGTACTTAAATGAAGTTTGACGACTTAAATCAAGGAAAAAATATAGGAAATGAAATAAGTAACTAAGCTATGGAAGAAACAACTAAATTGGGGTTTGGTTGAGCATTAAAATCGAAAACTGATCCAAGAATTGGCAAAAGATAACTCAATCGAGATTACAAACATCTGATGTTTACCTCTCCTAAATTCCACTACTCTTTTTTTCTTCAAAACTTCATAAGCTAGGACTTAACACTATGAAATTTTGGCTTAAAAATTGCAAAAATTGGCTAAAATAATTTCAAAGAACGTCGAAAATTACGCTTTTTGACCACACAACTGATTTATTAGATTAGTTGTCGATAATCCGGACCAATATGTTGGTGGATTAAGTAATCTTCTCCTTTGGAAACATCAAACATCATATTCTGATGATGATAGAATGGTTGTTGGTGTTGCAAGTGTGTAGTTTGCACCTCCTTTTGTCTCCTTAGCTCAAGTACCTTACGATGAGAATTCGAATGTTTTGTCAGAATAAATGTGGGGCTCGCAGCTGGTCGATACTCAGGTACTAGTCGACCAGACTTGTAGCGAACCCCACAAGCATTACATAGTGTTTTTGGACCTAATGGTCCACTACGCCACTGAGGGGTTTTATCAGTTGCACAATGGAGACATTTTCGTCCTTCCACATTATTTGTTGAATTTTCATAGACTTCTTTTTTCTTTAGTGGAGCCTTCATGGTGTTTTTCCAAATTGAGCTTGTGGCAATATCAGATTCGGACTCAGATGAAATGGCAGAGGTTTGACCCGTTGATGTAGGTGAGAGAACAAGAAGCCGAGAGGTCCAATTGCATGGTGCAGCACGAGAACGCTTGGTACGGGCCTTGCCTGGGACTGTCATGTCAGTGTTAAATATCGGGTTGTTGGCCCGATTGTAGGTTTCTTGTTGGAATTGGTGGATCTCAGATGAATCATCGGCTGGTCGAGCTTTGACTCCAGATATCAATTGAAGCTTCGCCATATCCTCTGTCGAAAATGAATCCTCCACAAAATTCGATAGCCATTCTAGCTCAGCCACATCATCATACTGTGAAATCAATATTGTTAGAATTATCAAATTATCCAAAATCACATGATAAAGCATTATTAGAATTTAGTTGTGTATGTTTTATATAATTAAAGTTTATAAAAAATGTACTTTGTAGTTTTCTTTCGATATCTTTGTTCATATATAATAGAATGCTACATACCTGTAATAAATATAGTAGTGAAATGCCAAAATGTTCATATGTTATTTTCAGAAGTTCATTTTTAACCATTGTGCTCACTACCAAAAAAGAAAAGTAAAGTAAAACTTTTTTTTTTCGAGAAGATCTCATAACCACAAAAAGCTACTAGTAACGTGAACTTTAAATTTCTAAATATTATACTTTATATTATAATAATAATTACTGAATTTCAATAATAAAAGTATTTTCGTATTATTTCTAGCAAATACCGTATTTTTGTGAGAGCTACAAAATAAATAATAAAATTTTCTATAGATATTAGTTATGAAATTTGTTTTAATGGAAATATAATTTTCACAAACTTAATTAATTAATTAAAAGATAAAAAATATATAGGGTTACAGAAAATGCATGGTAGCTGGTAATTAATATGCATAGCTTGATTGTAAGTTACAGTTAAGTAATGCATGGAGAGAATTAGAACCAATGAATATTACCGGGACACAAAGATCATGAGAGAATTGAGTGTCGGGGAAGCTCCGGTGAACAACCAGCTCTCTGGAGGAGTGGCAGCTGTCGATGGCAGTGGAAACAATGGAGGAGTCAGTGGAGGTGCCGCCATTAGGCACATCTCCGGCGTCATCATATGCCTCCTCCCCAGTGACGGTGTCGTCAGTGGGAAAATTAAGAAGGTCGTCGATGATGAATTGTTCGGTTTTGACGTCGGAGTATCGTTTTTCCGGCGTGAATGGTCCATGGAGGAATTCAGGAGTTTCCATTTGTGTAATTGTGGGGAATTGTTGAGAAGGGTAACGTAGAAAAAGGGTATGCTAGAGAGAGGGAGAGAGAGAGAGTAGAGAGAGAAAGTGTGTGGAGGAGAGAGTTGAGGAGTGAAGAGAGGTGAGGGTGGGGAAACGAGAGAGTTTATTTGCGTTTGAAGGGGGCTGGCGGACACCTAAAAATATGGAGCTCTTTTCTGACGAAAAACATTTTTTATTTTAAATAATAAAATAAATATTTATATTATAATTTCAACAATAATAATGTTGGAAGCCAAATCAGAAAATTAATTTCCTACACTAATGACTATATGGAATTCAAGAAAATATTAGTAATTAGAAAAAATCAGATTCACTTTGATTATATATAAATTTCACGATGAAACCACGATAATGATCATGATAGTATTAAATTGATTATCAATAATTTTTAAGATGATGATCATAAAAAATATATAAAATAAAAATGGAAAAATTGTTAAATATTGTTAAATAACATATAAATTTTTAACAAATTCATTAATGATTCACGCTTTTTGGATTTTAATATGGGGTTGTCGATATACTCAACGTGTCATGACGAGGGCCGACCCTCAGCACGTGTGGGGTGTGCGACCACACAAGCCCGTCTCGTCAGGGCCCATAATTTTAATTCGTTGCGGTTTTGTCACTAATATGTCACTATCCGTCACTAATCTATTACTAATCTATCACTAATTTGTCACTATTTATCACTAATTTGTTCCTATATGTCGTTAGTCTATATGATATCTTAGGAGGCTACTTTTAATTTTCGCATAGGGTCTTCAAAATCAACGGACCGACTCTAGTGATGATGGGTTTAAAATGAGCAAACTCGACTGGTTCTTAGATTATCATAATTTCCTTAATGCATATTCCTCTCCTTCTGTCACTATGTTGCCCTAAGAATACTCTGATCATTCGCAGATCATTCTAAAAACCAATGATGATGTGAATTTTGGCCCTCCTCCTTTTCGTTTTTTCAATTCATGTATGCCTAGAGATGGTATATATGATATTGTTACAAGGGACTAGGGGCCATTTATTGGTAGCAGTCAGGATGATGCATTATTTGTTCGGAATCTAAGGGCGGTAAAAAAATGCTATAACAGAATGGAAGATATTGAAATTTCAGAAGAAAACAAAACTCAAAAGATTGAGGACAATGGTCGGCGAGTTGGATCGAACTGGTGAGTTCATATCGTTGCTCCCATCAGAAATTGATGATTGGCAGACCGGTAAACAAAAAATTCTGGAATTTGAAAAAATGGAAAAATTGGACCTCTAGCAGAAATCTCGTATTAAATAGATGATAGATGGTGATGAAATTAAACTTCAAAAAATTTCATGGGTTTTTAAAAAATAAAAGTAGGCAAAACAAAATACTTGGTATAATGATAAATGAAACATGGGTGACTGAGCGTAAATTAATTAAAGAGGGGGGTTTGGGACTTTTGTGTAGGAAATTCTTTGAGCCTTTTCCAAATCGTCCTTCTCTCATATGTCCCCATTTTAAAAAGCTTACCCTTCAAGATTGAATTTAGTTGGAAAAACCTTTCAGTGTGGAGGAAATAAAAAAGGCAATTTGGGATTATGGTGGGGAAAAAGCCCCGAGACCGGACGGATTCACTCTTAACTTCTTAAAATGTATTGTCATTTGATGCAGGCTGACATTATGAAGTATGAGAAGCACTTTGAAGATATATTTACTATGTCGGGGGTGTAACTCCTCTTTTATCACATTGTTTCCTAAATCCAAAGACCTGATTACTATCTAAGAGTATCACCTTATAAGCCTTATTGGCCACCTCTATAAAAATGTTGTAAAGGACCTTGCATCTAGATTTAAAAAGGTCATTGCTAGTGTCATTGGTGAAGTCCATGTGAATTCATGCAAAGCAAAAACATTTTAGATTGGTGTATCTGATAATGAAATATGTTATGGTGCTTAAATTCTTGGTTGCAATGTTGCTTCCTTTCTTTTCAACTACTTAGGTGTGACGGTAAGGGCTAATATGACCCTTAAAAAGTCAGTGTTCTAAAAATCAGCCTAGGCGACCGCCTAGGCGCAAGCCAGCCTCTTACTGTCTATGATTAATGCTAGTCGGTTGAGTTAGGCGGAGTCGGTCTTGGGCGGCTGTAGGCGGTCCTAGCTGGCCCTGGGTAGTCATAGGCGGTCTATACGGTCTAAGCCAATAAAAAAGTCAGACAGTCAAATTTTTCAAAGACTTAGAAAGATTAAACATAACCAAAGAATAAGAAAGCATAACAACATTTGAAGACTTTGATCCTTTAGGAGGTTCGAAGTTGATGAAGTGTGACATTAAGCTCTAAAAAGAGCACTCTAGAAGTATCCACCAAAGCAAGATTAAACCACGAAAATATGCTAGTATACACATGTATAAAGTTGTTCTTAAGCTTTAAGACTTATACCAAATAAGTGCTCGAATAGAAGAAACTTTAGAACCAAGAACTTGCACACAAAATTGCAAGAGATAGAGAAGGGCTGTCTTCATAATTTCTGAAATGGAGAGAGAAAAAGAAGAGGAAGTGTTTTATAAAAACTAGCTCTCTTCACTTGCTTAAGTCCTCCTTTTCTCCATCATCCAATGTACATAAAATATAAGACCATAAAGTAAAAGTAAGACATCTTCTTACAAGCATGGGATGAATGAATAAAGAAAGGAAAAAGCAATCACATGCCATACCTCTCAAAAATTTAGCCATCACTATACAAGAGACAAAAGTTCAAGTCTCTTTTACTTTATAACAAATGGTTTGTTATAAATAAACCAAGTCTTTACTTAAAGTGTCCAAAATGTTTATACACAACATTAAAATCACAACATATGATATTTCGATAGTTTTTGTTCTCTTTATTATTATTTCCTAGAAAAATTAATTCACAATATGTTATAAAATATTATTTTCATAAAATAATATTTTTCTAATTAAATACAAGTGTTGATACTTATTAATAATGAAAATTACACTAATAAATAATCAATTAGTAGTAACTTGCTATAACCTGTCACCCTATAGGATCATATGTTATTAGCAATATCATTCTATAATAACTCTTGGGAATACAAGATCTTTCAATCTCCCACTTGCACAAGACTCATCATAGATCGACATAGACAATGATGAATGTCTATCAATATTTCACTGCCCCCAATAACACATGACAAAAAATGTCATTCTTCAACATCCAATTACCCAAAGCTCAAAGCTTCAATTGATGTATAAGGAAATTTTATCACTTATCTCTTTGTTACAGACATCCTGTTAAACATGAGATTTGGATCGCAAAAAATCTCATTTGGTGTTCACCTTTGGGTATCGCCTTAGATGTCTAACTCTCAAGACATAAGAGTAACAAATCTCGTCTTGACTATATAAGCCTCTTGCATAGTTCACACCATACATGAAAATAGATTTTATAGCTGCCCGATTAAGGATCAACATTTAACCATATCAAAGCACATCACTCCCTATACTTAAGATCCACTATGTAGCTCAGGTGTTAACGATAGAAAGATAGTCCCTTTTATTCAAGTGTCACTTACAAAAGCGATCCATGAGGTGATCTTGATGCGAGTCCATCCAATACTTCTTCTCTGACAAGTACCTATGAAACTTGGTTACAACCACTTGCCTACTTTCATCTAGCGAGAGTCACCCAGTCCAATTCATGTTAGTCTTACTTCATAATTTCTCCAACAATTATAACTTACTATGAACTATTAGAATAATAACATTATTCATGGATTAAACATGTTAATATAGAACACAACAAGTATTGATGTAATGATTATATCCTAATATATCAAAACAATATATTGTTGTTGTCTTAATGTTCCAATATCTAAATACTAAAGTCAAATCAAAATTCCATTTCTAGAATAATGAAGTCCTATAGTTGAAGCGTAACCATTCATATTAGCTTAAATGGAAGGACTTTATTAATGGGTCTGACTAAATTTAATTTGTGTGAATTCTACGAATACTATTATCTCAATATTTGACTTTACTCTAAGTATAGTTAAATATCTTGGACAATATGATTGGTGTGCTGATGTGACATCAAGTTTCTTAGCTTGATTAAGCATACTCTTGAAGTCACAAAGATTTCTAGGTTATCCCTAAATGGAAGGACTAAACCTAGTTTTTCAATGATCTTGTTCATCCAATCATATTTTATTTCAACTTCTAAAGCAGTAGTATATTCTTATTTATTAGACTGTGTAATTTTGTTTTGCTTGGACCTCATTCCTACAAAGCTTACTCTTCATTCCATAATGAAGTCATAATCCAATTATATTTCATAATTATATATATTGTAGCTCATTACATCAAGATCTTCTTCTAAACTAATTATCTCATGTACAATCTCTTAGTTCTTCTTAAGTACTCTTAGAATGTCCTTATAGTCATCAAGTGACTAACCCATGTGTCCAATTGGTATCTTATGATATGTTTACGACATAATTATATACATAATATTGTGTATAATATGGGAATGGCATAAATGATGGAATCATTTGCCAAGAAAACTAAATATCAATCATTTTATCTAGCTAAAACCAATGCGCTAGGTCATTTTGAGGCTAGATCAAACTTAGTGTCGTGTGGCAATGCCAAGCTTTCTCCAAAGGAATCTTTTATCTTAATCTTTTTCAAGACATTGTCAATAAGCGTATAGGCATTTTAAAACATTAACATTCATATTTATCTATCTCCGTAGATTCTACATTCCAAGAATGTATCTTGTCATTCCTAAGTCTTTCATCTTAGAAATACTTTTCGAGTCAAGGCGAAAGAGCCTTGCATAGTCGGAATGCAATCTCTTATGATTATATATGTCTCAACCATACAAGATTAGGACTATCACTATGCTCCGACTAGTTCTTAGTAAACACAAATGTCATCTTTAATTTGATATAAAAGTGCACCTTGTATTTGTATATTAAAATGATGATTCCAACCTTGAGATGTTTTCTTTATATCCACAAGTGGATCTTAAGCTTTATACATTTTGTTACGATAACTAGGATTAAGAAAACCTCTAGGCTAAGTTATATAGATATCTTCAAGTACATGTCTATTAAGAAAAGCGGGTTCGT